AAAGTTTTAAGAGAGCATTAAAAAAATATTTATATGAGCATTCTTTTTATATGGTTGATGAGTTTCTTAAGTATAAAAGTAGTTAACCACGTAGACAGCATAAATAACGTTGTTATATTTTATGCTCAAGTAGTTTAGTGGTTGCACCTCTGTTAATTAGCACACTTTTATAAAATGATTGAACTTTCCATGACTTGAGTGCAGTAATAGATGTGCTAATATGGTGTAAAAATTAAATTTCATTTTATATAGTGGATAACTATTTATGTACAAAGTTAGATAATTTGAATTGTTTTATCTGTTTATTAATTCAAAATATGATCTATATTTATAACTTTTTAAATTGTTACCTTGTAATATTTATATTTGCTTGTTAATCTTATATTTAATTTTGACAAAATCTTTTTATGACTGCATGTTCTATGACTTTCTCTATATCCAATAATTGTACCAGCCTGGATTAACAGAAATGAAATGAATGAATGAATGAATGAATGAATGCCTTTAAGAGCCTGTCACCAAATCCTGCCTAGGTGAGATGAACCCAGTCCATATCCTCACACCCTACATTTTAATGTGTATTTTAATATTATCCTCTCTACATTTGAGTCACCAAAGAAGTTGCTTGTATTGTTTTCCTGGTTGAAGTTAGTGAGCATTCTCATCTCTTGTGCAGGGCACATGCCGATCCCATGCAGAGAGTGGAGAGCTCTTATGTTAGCCTTCATTTGTGTCATTGCATTTTGACAGTTGTAGTACCTTGCTAATGACAGCTCAATTACCTGTCCCATGCTATGGAAATATTGCCCACATAATGATGCCTTCACAGACACTGATCCTTGTTCTCATGGCTAGGGGTGTCCAGCAGCTTGTGCATGTAACACACAGACAAGCTGTTGATCTTTCACAGCATGTTGCTCTAATGATATTACAGGGAGTGCCCGGTTTTACTGTTGACTGGATTACTGGCTCTAGACTGAGGTTTTTCACGATTCTTTGGCAAATGCTGGGATGGTGCCATGCAATATGCCATGCCTGCATCATTCAAAAGGAGGAACGCTGATAATGGTGTGCTGCGTATTGAATATTTTTACATCTATTGACAAAACAGTTTCTTATAAAAAATACAAATATAGACCATTGATATTAAAATCTTAAAAACGCAACATGTTTCAACCCATATTGGGTCGTCATCAGGTGTATTTTGTGTGCTTATGTGCCAAACTTGTTCTTTTTAACATGGATCCATATTTTGAATATGACTATATAACATGTAATATTATACTTGGTAACAAAACTCTTGGTATTATCAACTTTTTAGTCTAATTTTTTTATTATTAGATATAATTAGTTATATTAATTTATATCTAGTTGAAGATTAAATTAAAATATATTGTCATGCATAGAAGGGTACCCATGTTAGGTGGGTCCTTTGTCACCACAGTATGGTGCTTCCTCAGGTTGTGGATGGAGGAGACGCCATTCAGGTATGGAGGGAAGCTGCGAATATATTGAATAAGCAGTCGCGGACAGCCGACAAGTAGTGGTCCTCCAGCTTGAGGTTCGGGCATGGGGCTAACAACTCCTCACCCTAAAAAATAAACTCATTATGAAAATTCTCAGGAAACCTCAGACCTGGACGGATTCCTTAGATAATCGACCTAAGCTAAAGAAAATGGATATGAGATTTGGTACATCGAATGTTCGAAGTTTGTATAGGGCAGGTTCGCTCAGGGCGGTGGCAGAAGAAATCTTAAAATATAATTTAGATTTATCAGGAATACAGGAGGTCAGATGGGACGGAGGTAGCATCACACCAGCAAGCAAATATACATTTTTCTATGGAAAGGGGAATGAAAATCATGAATTAGGTACAGGTTTTTTCATACATAAGAGAATCGTATCAGCAGTTAAGAGGGTATAGTTCGTTAGTGATACGATATCATATATAATACTAAAAGGTAGCTGGTGTGATATCATCATTATAAATGTTCACACCTCAACAGAAGATAAAATTGATGACATAAAGGACAGATTATATGAAGAACTAGAACATGTATTTGATAAATTCCCGAAGTACCCCATGAAAATTTTGCTAGAAGATTTCAATGCCAAAATAGGGAAGGAAGACATTTTCAAACCAATGATTGGGAATGAGAGTTTGCATTAAATTAGTAATGATAATGGAGTTAGAGTAGTATACTTTGCCATGTCAAAAAATCTTACTGTCAAAAGTACATTGTTCCTGCATCGTAACATCCATAAATTTACTTGGACATCTCCTGATGGGAAGATTCACAATCAAATAGACCATATTTTGTTAGATAGGAGATGGCACTCAAGTTTTCTAGATGTCCAATCATTCAGGGCAGCAGATTGTGATACTGACCACTACCTGGTGGTGACACAGGTTAGGGAAAGACTGGCAGTGAGCAAATAAACAATGTACAGAGTTCATATCTAAAGAAATTAAATGAGGTAGAGGGTAAAGGGCAGTATTGTGTTGAAATCTCAAATAGGTTTGTGGCTTTGAAAACCTGGGCACTGAGGTGGATGTTAATAAAGCTTGGGAAACTATTGGAGAGAATATCAAAATTTCTGCCAAGGAGAGTCTAGGTTATTGTGAACTGAAGAAGCATAAGCCATGGTTCGATGAAGGTTGCTCAGAATTACTAGACCAAAGAAAACAAGCCAAATTGCAATGGTTACAGGATCCAAGTGAAATAAATAGGGATAATCTGAACAATATAAGATGTGAAACCAGCAGGCATTTCAGGAATAAAAAGAGGGAATATCAGAATGACAGAATTGATGAGCACACTGAACAGTAAGAGCAAGAACATTAAAGACCTGTATAGAGGCATAAACGACTTTGAGAGGAGTTACCAGCCTAGCAGTAACTTAGTGAAGGATGAGAATGGTGATCTGCTTGCAGATTCCCACAACATTTTAAATAGGTGGAGGAACTACTTCTCTCAGTTATTGAATGTACATAAGGTCAGTGATGTTAGGCTGATAGAAATGCACACAGCTGAGCCATTAATACCTGATCCCAGCCCTTTTGAGGTTGAAATTGCTATTGCAAAATTGCAATGGTATATATCACCAGGTAGTGATCAAATTATGGCGGAACTTATTCAAGCAGGAGGCGAAATATTATGTTCTAGTGGAGGGCTCTTGTGAACACAGTAATGAACCTTCGGGTTCCATAAAATGCTGGGAAATTCTTGAGTAGCTGCAGATTTGGCTTCTCCTCAAGAAGGGCTCAGCTACATAAGTAAGTAATTAAGGGAGATACACATGACAAAAATAATGGGTTCTAGATTGAATGATTAGATTTATCACCAATTTGGTTACAAGTTCTTTTAATTACAATTAATACAGCGCTATCACTTATTTACCCACTTTCCAGTTCACCGTTAAACACGCACTAATCTTCTTAGTCTGTCTGCCCTAGTCCTCATTTATTTATAACACAGGAACTATAAAAGTCTCGCCTAATCACACACTTACAACACCACTGCACAATAGCACACCTAAAGTCTTCAAATCACATGTTAAATTCTCACAGGCCGACCTCTTGTACTCTTCTGTACTCCTAGTTCCAGTTCACTCTCCACTTGCAGCTCACGCCTCTCATTACATAGCCGTGGAATGGCCATGGACCTACAATAAACACATATCACGTGATGGCTATCCAGCAAGTTTATTGGCGTGTCAGTCGGATCTACAGAAAACACGGCTTCCTCTATTGTTGCATGTTGGACTGTGTTTACACAGTTGTTGCCTGGCAATGCATTGATCAAATCTGTTACATTATGCATATATCTGTTAGGTATTTCGCTGGATTACTTGTCAGTGTGGTCTGGTTCCTTCCTAGGTGGGTACAATGTTATGAACTCTAGTATGTTCACATGCATTATCTCCCATTTAATCAGGTTGCAAGTTGGGTTTAGTGGGACTGTCATCAAGATGTTGTTATCATATGGTATATGGAGAATTTCTGTATTATCTTGTAGATGGTCCTTTGGACAGTGGACACTGGAGGTTAACTCTTTCTATGGGACCCAGCAGAGTAGGTGTCTCCCCCTTACCTGAGGATGGAAACGGATCCAATTTCCAAAATATGCTTTCTATTTTCTACAATACTGGATGTGGATAAAAGTCCAGAAACTGAGTAATTCTGATTATATGCCATCATCAGAACATTTTAGAATCCATGTTGTTAAGGTGATTAAATGGTGAGATATGCATGACATAAAGCATGCCGTCGGCAAGCAAGAAGTAGAGGAAAAATTTAGGTAGGAATTCTCATGGGAACGTATTCTTTCAGATGGTAATAGTATAATAAGTCCGGGAGAATTAGGTTTTAGGATGTGGGCGGGGTTGAGTCCAGTAACAGGCTTCTGTGGTCACTATGATGATCGTTAAGGTGCCAGACTGACGGGAAATGGACTGATGTAAATACAGGAAATTTTCTCTATAATGTTAACATTAACTGACAGTGTTTGAGAAAAAATGCTGAAGTAAATATTTGAACAGGAGAGAGAGGAAGTAACTGGAGACTGAAAAACAAAAACTCTATAATGAAAAGCCACATAATTTGTACTCTTCACATATTGTGAAGGTGGTCAAACCAAGGAAGATAAATAGGCTGGATGTGTAACATGCTGAAGGAGAAGAAAAAGGCTTTCAGAATATATAAGCTGCAAAACTTCAAGGAAGGAAACCTCTTTGGATACCCAGGTGTAGATGGAAATATAATATTAAAATGAATCTTAAAGGAATAGGGTGTTTGGTATAAATTGGATTCAGTTGGCTAAAAATTGGGTTCAGTTTCAGGATCTTTTGAACATGCCCATTAACCTTCAGGTTCCAAAATAAGCAGGAATTTCTTGACCATACGAGTAAATTTAAGTTTTAAGAAAGTCCCTACACCTTGAACTTAGTTTAAAACATTTTCAGCTACAGTGTTCATAATATCTGTGTTGTTCTTCCAGCTGTGAAGGTTGCAAAGGCTTTTTCAAGAGAACAGTACGCAAGGACTTGTCATATGCATGCCGAGAAGACAAGAACTGTATAATCGATAAGCGCCAGCGCAACAGATGTCAATATTGCCGCTACCAGAAGTGCCTTGGCATGGGCATGAAGAGAGAGGCCGTCCAGGTATATATCAGCAAGACTTAAGTTTGTGTTCATCAGCACACACTGTGTATGTTCTTCAGATATGCACATTGCTGACGATAAATTTTGGTGATTTTAAACTTTGCAATTGAGAGTTAGCACTCCCGATTTTTATTCAGCAGGTTCCAGGTAAGAGTCATGTGTTAAAGGCTGGCTGTCCTGGCTGAGGTTTCCATGAGGTTGCCCAGTTTCTTCAGTCAGTTGTTGGGATGTTACATTGAACTAGTCTACTTCCACTTCCACATTCTTTCACCACTCAGTCATCCTGTCATTTGATGTGCAGTTGGTAAAAGACTGTTAAATTATTTAAGAACCAATTAACCAAANTATATTATATTATATTATATATTATTTAACCCATCCTTATCCAGTATATGTGTATATGGAGGGGCAGATATGTTATAATAGTATTTTAAATTAAGTCTGAAAATATGTTTTCAAAAATTCTGCTTCATTTACTTTGTTTCATAGTGGATGTATCCAAGAATACAGACACTTCCACTGAGAAATGCAGGTTATTCCTTTCACACTAAGAATGGCCCTGCTAGGATGAATTTTACAGATAGCTCACTGCAGGAAAGCATAACAGAAGTGTGTATGGCACAATGGAGAAAATTACAGTGTAACTGTTATAGGATATTTTTAAATGAAGATGTATTCTAGGGACACAGTATTGCGATACATAGCCAACTGGGCCATTGACCAATACAGTAATGTAACCACAGCTGATAAACGTTAATCACCCTGAAGATATTAAATGAAGAGTATAAATTATGAAACTCTGTATTGTGTAGTGATTAAAAATGTTATATAGTTGATAGTTATAGTAACAAAAAAAATACATAAAAGGTTCTCCCATAAAATGGTTGGCTCTGTTGTGAACTTGGTATAACACAGATCTGTATCAGACTTGAGACTCTGACTGTTGCCTTGGTAATATTGAAGTTGTGTTAGTACAATGCATGGTTTCATGAAAAGGGTACATTTGACAATTTAATAATGCAGTTCCAAGGTTGAAGGTTGCTTGAAAATTTGCTCTGTAGCCATTGTAACTATACTCATTATAATATTATGGTGGTGGCATACACACAGTTATTCTGTGAGTTATCCTAATCCTTCCAGCCGCACTATGGCCCTCGGGTTCTCTAAGCCTGTAATAGAAATGAGTACCAGGAATTAAATAAATAATTTTCCTGGGGAGTAAGGCACGACCGGCACGTAAGGCTGACAAGCTTACCACCATCTTTGAGCCGATTGTCTAGATAATGTGGGACCCTTAACGTCTCACAACCCTATGGGCCTTCATGGCCTGTTACAGGGATAGCTTTACTTTTTTTATGAAAGTTCCAGAACATCTCAGTATTACAAACATTAAGCCTGCTTATCTAGACATGAACATGCACTTCAGAGATTCAAATGCCTGAGGAGTCTCTCCCTGTTTGTTTCATCCCCTACTATTTGATTTTGAGGTTCGCTATCATTTTTGATTCTGTGTTGGCTCTGTTATTTATTTCCTGAAGCCTGTTTTACTATCAGTATGAAAGAATGGTGAGAAAGACACTGCTGCATCTAATCCAAGTGTTAATGAAGTGTGGGTTATTATCTTCAGAATAGATATTATAACCATTCTTTTGCAGCCACAAGATGGATACCAGTTTAAAACAGTACTTTGCAGCCATGAGATGGATGCCAATTTAAAACTATCCTCACTAATTTTCCCTCTTAGGTGTTCAATTGATATTGATGCCCTCGATGCTTGTTGAATTTCAGTGTTCTGTGATGGCGTGCTCTAATTGTAACAGCTTTTAGCAGTAGATCTGTCTCAGACATATTGAGCCTTGCTTAGCAGCCAGAAGGAACCCTATGATTACTGACCCACTCCTTCAGTTACTATGCAATCATTCACTGGCATTCATTCTATTATTTTACACCATTTGCACAAACACACAAATCACTGTACATTCTGCGAGTCCATCTTTTTTAAATATAATTGCTACACACTTTCAACAAGGACTGTGTATATGCATCCATATTCTCTAAAAATTAAAGCAGAGTGATTGTGGGCCCAAAGTGTTTTTACATCCTCAAAATACAGAGCCCTTCGCCTAATAAATATGACTCCCCTACCACCATCTTTGAGCCGATTGTCTAGGTAATGTTGGACCCTCTAGTCTCACAACCCTATGGGCCTTCATAGCCTGTTACAGCTTTACTTACTTCCTCTGATTGGCTTGATTTGGAAAATGAGATGATCTTTAAATTTACATTTACCTATCAACTGTATATTAATAATATTGGACATCAAGTTGCATTGATTTAGCAAATGGCCTTAACGTTACTGTCCAGCCATAGTTTGTGTCAACTTGCAGAAACACATATTACGAACACCTGCTACACATGAGACTCCAAAGATTTCACCATTGTGATACATCAAAATTCTAAGAAAAACAATCTATTTTTAGTAACCAGCACATTTAACATACTCATTACACTGTGTAAATTACACTGAACAGCTATGGTCTCTTTATTTCTAGGACCCAACAACAAATATTAATTATTCCCATGATTAAGTATAATCTAATAATAAGCCTTCAGGTTTGATCTGTGACTATGTTGATATAATAAAGTGGGATGAAGAAAGTCACAAGTTGCTTTTTTGAGTTTGTACAAGGCCAGTGAATCATTTATGAAATTGGCCCATGGGAAGATGAACATTAAGTTATTGATGTGCTTTCAGGAACATACCATGTTTGTAACTTGGGAGTTTTTGCTTTTCAGGTGGATATAATTTTTTCAGTTTCCTTATTTCCTTCAGGTGAATTCCTGTTGCATAGGTCATAACCACTACCCCTACAGTTATTTACTGAAGTAATGTCTACATAATGGTCAGAAGGAGATATTAACAAGTTCAGGCCTTCTACTTATTAGACTGCAAATTCATTTTCTCTGAGACTACTTCTTCCTGTAGTTGAGTCACATTATTTTGTTTTAACAGTCGAACTCCTCTATCTTGTCTTATTTATTGTTGATTACTTCTTTTGTTTGCTGGGTGTTAAACTGTTGTGATATGTCTTAATTTGTTATGTTGTCAACTCTCATTTCCCCAACTCCTCATTAAGAACTTGTTTCCAAAATTTGTAGTGACTTTCAAATATTTGCTCTTGATTTTGCTACGTAAATCAGTGTTAGCCTGATGACAACAGATCCTACTCTTTCTTTATATTTCTTTTCTTATTCATATGTATCATTCGGGCATCTGTATATTTCTTATGCCCTATGTTGAAGTGAGGCATATAAATGTGATGCATATATATATTTGTAGCATGTGGCATGCCTAAAGGTTAAATTATAGGCCTGAACCCTCTTTCCTCCTATAATATTCATAAAGATGAAAAAAAAAAATTGGTGCAGTTCAATAAGGACACGTTATTGAAGTCCTCATCTTTAATGGTGGTTTATAACTAATTGTGCTTTAGTTTGGGTAATAGCACCAAGGTTCAGTGGTAGTTTGCTAGTGTTTTGGAGAACTTGGTTGTCCCCATCTTCATGGGAAAATGAATAAACAGCAGCATGATGTCAGTATTTCTAGTTGCAGGCTGTAAGGATGTGGGAGATTCCATGCCACACATCTTCCTATCAAACCTCAGAAATCCAACTTTCTTGTGCCTGGAACTACAGATATTGGCAGCAAGTTGCAGTTTAGTTACTGAAATGTTGACAGAGCAACTCATGTCAGAACTCAGTGTCATCAGCCACAAATGGAAACAAGACTAGAAACATAATTATGTTATTTTCTGAATTTGTTTTGTTTACAATTTTTGTTTCTTTTATTGAGAAGTGATCACCCGAAATACAATTTCTGGGTATGCCACTATCTGTGGATTACAGTTGTGTTGTCTGATTAAAGAGCCACCATAAGAGACATTGTGGAGATGTTAGATCAGGAGTCCTAAATAGGCAGCTTGAAGACAGACTGCACGAAGATGGGGACTTCTCCAGACTTGCTTCAGGACTCACAGTTCATCTAGCTAAGGCAAGGGCTGCAGGAAATTCCAACAGATGGCTCTGGATTGCCTTGAACTTTTCCCTGCCAGTGTACCTACCAGTTGAGCTGATGATGCAGTCTTCTAGGCCCCCATGATCCAATCTGTCTTATATTTAGCAGCTGGTATATGTTACAAGCTGTCACAGCTGTGCAGAGTATTTGATTTTCATCACTTCATACTTCTTATCTTCACAGAGGTCTGTCTTTTCTTTTAGGTGTTCAGCTTTTATGAAACATCCCAGGAGTTCCTTTAGCACTAGGCCATAGTATTTAGGCTGTTCTGGTTACACCTTTGACTGAAGCTTTAGATGTTTTATGCAGAGGAAAAAATTAAGGATCCATTACTGACTCACCATGTGTCATGTGTTCAGTCCCTGAACCTTTTGTCCTGTTTTGATTACATTTTACATGAGAGCCTCTTCCTAGCAACAGTATGAATCTGGGTATTATTTTCCAGTTAGGGTAAACATGTAAGAGTTAATGATCTAAAGGAGGTACATATTATAAGTTAGACAAATTTTATATTTTTTTTAAATTTCATGAAGGGTGGATAGAGGGCAAAGAATGCTTAATATACGCTTCAAGAAGTGTCTTTCCCCTTGTTTTTTCAAGTATTGTAGGTTATTGAAACCTACTTCTGATTTAAATTATATTAAGTAGAAAGTGAAATGTCAGAATGTTGCTGTACACTAAAAGAAGGAATGGATAAATTTCTTACAGTTTGACAGTTTGCCAAATTGTTAGGGATACAGCCAAAAAGCTTTTGTGACCAAAGCACATTGAATTTATTGCATGTAAAGGACATTATACACTGGATTTCTCCATCCCAACTTTGAGGTCTGCGTTGTGTTATAAACCATTTGTCTGCATGCTGGGCCTCCTTCCATGCATCTTGTGTTTAATTAGTCATACCTAAGTCAGAGTGGCCAAAACATCATCACTGCTACTTTACAGATTGTATATTTCACTGTTAACATTCTCATCTCATAAAACTGCTTGTGTACTTCTAAAATCACAATAAATTCCGAGTAGAAAATAACGATGGTTCCTTTTGGCAGGATAACCATTTCTATCACAAAATCAAGTCAGATATTTTTGTCATTGCTGTGTTCTTTTTCAGCATATGTACATTTCCAGACTAATTACTCTTTGAATGATTGCCAGGAAGTATACAAAGTATATGCAGAAATTATAGTGTGTAGAACTGGAGAACTGGCAGACTCACTGATATTCAAAGAGTAACATATGTAGAGGAAGGGATGTTTCTGTATGGATACTATTTTCATTCTTCATTAGTCGATAGAGAAAGAAACAGAATATAGTCTTGAAACATATCTTTTATTTGTTAATTACAGGAAGGCTTTCACTTCACGTGTTCAGAGTAAATTATGGAATGTAGTGGAAACTATAGGTGTACCAGGTCATTTTATCAGAACCATGAAAAGAAAGGCACAAGTGAGAACAAGAAAATAAGTGACAGTGTGAGACAAGGATGTCCATTCTCACCTGTACTTTTTATAATATGTACATTAATACTGCTGTAAATAAATTTAAAGTAGGTAATAATAGTGTATTAAATACCAAATTTAAATTAAAAATTAGCCTGCTTTTTTTTTTTAAGGAAAGAAAGCAGGGTTACAAGGGCAGCATGTATGTGCATGTATTATGCCATAGGAGACTACCACAACACTGTACGTCTTACTTTCATTCAGTCAGTAATAATAACATGGATAATCATAATAATATTAAAATAAAATTTATCACAGAATAATATTATAAGGTAAGGCATGGACTTAACTGGTTTGGGATAGTCTGATGCCAGCATTTTGCAGATATGAAGATGAAACCTTGAGTTTTAGTAAGAAGGAATATTTAGATCATCTTGAATAATTATTTCCTTTTTAAGGAAGACTGTTTACTGTGGAATTAATTTTTTGCTTAATAATCAGATTTTGCCTTCTGGAAAATTGTGTGAACTTATTGGAAATTGTGCAATTAAGCATAATTGATGTTGTGCTTGCAGGAAGAGCGTCAGCGTACCAAGGAGCGAGATCAGAATGAGGTGGAATCAACTAGCAGTCTGCATACAGACATGCCTGTCGAGCGCATATTGGAGGCAGAAAAGAGGGTTGAGTGCAAGACCGAGCATCAGGTTGAGTTTGAGGTAAACTGACCTTACGTACTAAATATCATTAGGGCAAAAGAATTCAATTATTCACTTACTGCACAGGGAGTTAGAAACTGCATATCTTTGAAATACTTATAATTCAGAGCAAAAAATTGTATGACATTTTATATTCATGTAGAGATTTACTATTTTTAAAACAAACTTCAACATTTAGATTCACATATAATAATTTTGCAACATAATTTTATTTTGGCTGTATGATTGCAGGAGACATATGCTATTTTTTTAATTTAGTCATGTGATTAAAAGGGACTAATTTGCAATATCTTGATGTGGACATGTGACTGAAGGTACTGGATTCTTAAATTTTGAAACACAAAAAGAGGAGATCAGTTTTGATTTTTTTAATTTTTAAGTGTGATTGAGGAGATTGGGATCTTATAATTGTGGTTGGAGTAACTGATGTTAAATTTTTAATCTGGAAGTGTGCTGCAGAAGATTAATTGGTATTTTATAATATGGAAGTTTGATTAGAGGATGCAGCGTGATTTCTTTATATTGGATGTATGACTAGAGAAGAGAGATTATGATGTTTGTAGTTTAGATTGATTGCAATTTTTACTATGTGTTTTCAGTCAGCAGTGACCAACATTTGCCAGGCAACCAATAAGCAACTCTTCCAACTCGTCGAGTGGGCCAAGCACATCCCACATTTTACATCGCTTCCTCTCCCAGACCAGGTGCTTCTGCTGCGAGCAGGTAACAAAGAGTCTCAGAACTGATTCTAAGAGTCCAAAACAGTTCTTGTGTGTTATGGAGGTAATAGAGCTAAATGGCTTGGAATTGAAGCTCAGAATCATATTTGGAAGTCAAGTCATAATGCCCACTATAAAAAATGTCCAATAAAATAAAACATCTTGAATGGCTTATTGTCATGTGTGGTGAACTGTCCAAGACTCTCTGAAGGTCAAGCTATAAAAAGACGTACAAGCTAGCCAACTGGCATAAATTCTAGTAAGTTATAAAAGAGGGAGACCTGGACGTAATGAGAATTTATACAATTCAGAAGAATTCTTTTTCTAGTAGGTGGTTGAAAGACATGGTTTTGAATTCCATCTTCAAACTTCTGATCACATGTATGAAAAAATATGTTTAAAAGGATTAAAAGTATGGATGCAAGGAAAGTAGTATTTTACTTTTTTTTTTTTCTTTCTTCTTTTTTTTCTTTTNCTTTTGAGTTGGCAGTGAATACTTGCAAAAATGTTGCTTTAAATTGAGTAGAAACAGATGCTTTAGATTTCCATTTTGAAATCCCATTATCAAAATAAATTCTGTACCCGATATTTTTCCTCTTTAAATTATCCTGGAAATTCAAGTTTGTGCTGTGAATGACTGATATTTTTAACTGGATTCTTGTGTTTGTTTTATTATGTTTTTGCACTTGACATTGTCCATGTTCATTAGGGCCTGTGTCTTTAATTATGAATCCATTGCATTGTAAATAAGTAAAAGGAAAAATTAAGCTTTCTACTGTATTGTATTCAAGAGAAACATTAGATAGGGATTACACTGCACTGTTTATAGTATTGAACTTTTAGAGTATGACAAAGGATTGTGAAAGAATGTGGCTTCCATTGTTTCATTTAATTGAAAATTTTGCAATAACCTACAGGTTGGAATGAGTTGCTGATAGCTGCTTTTTCCCATCGCTCTGTTGAAGTTAAGGATGGAATTGTCTTGGCAACAGGCCTGACGGTTCATCGTAACTCTGCACATCAGGCTGGTGTTGGTACCATCTTTGACCGTGTGCTTACAGAACTCGTTGCCAAGATGCGAGAGATGAAAATGGACAAGACAGAACTTGGTTGCTTGCGTTCTGTTATATTGTTTAATCCAGGTACCATATTCATCCAGTTGGCATTTACAGATGATTCCGTTAAAACATTCTTGCTCCGAGATTTTTACAGAATATGTGTTTGTAACTGCAGCTTTCAGGGTTTAGCCATGTCATGTGTTGAGACTATTCCAATATTTTGAAATTTTGTTGTGTACACAGCAGTCACCATCTTCAGAGTAAATGNCATGCCAATCGATACCTGTTTCTTTCAGGATCTGCATTAATTTGGGATTGGGATAGAAAGAGGAATTGGACTGATGTTTAGGTCTCACATGACTGCTGACAGTACAGTCTTTGTGCACCACATAAATTTCTGTCAGCAAATTTGGAGACAGCATCATTGGGTCTCTCTTCTCGTAGCCAACATATCCATCTTGTATTTAAGCATCCTGTTGCATTACTATATTCAACCTTGTTTACATACAATTTTCCCTCAATAATGCACCTATTTATTTCTCCATTCACATTTGCCTTCGCTGTTAACACATGTTATGGCTCCAAGCTGCCATCCTCAGGTGTCCCATTATGCCAAACCTGCTACACTGCACTTAGTATTGTCCCTTCCACATGTGCATAAGTGAACATTTCATAATTAAAGTGTTACAATCACACTCAACTATTGTGCGTTAAATTTTACATGTTACAGTTCAATCTATTTAAAATTAATTAAAAATAATTCTAATTTTTAATTATATAAAGCTCCTAATTCCTTGTCTAAGCGATATACCCTTCTTCGGTTGTTTACATTGCAGCAGCTTACCGTTTCCATATGCAAGCCCGTCGTTATGTTTTGTCTGCAGTTTGTAATGTGTAAGAACTCACATAGGGCTGACATCCTCACTGCCATCTGTGAACCGATTGTATAGAGGAAATGTGGGAGCCTCAACATCTCTCAACTCTATGGGCCTTCATGGCCTGTTACGAGGAGAGCTTTACCGTTTATATGCAACATGTTTCAATCCAGCAGGATCATCATCAGGCAGTGTTCATGATACATCTCTCATTGTTGGGTTGTGTCCTAACAGGGATCCATATTAGTAATTATATTGATATACAGTATGTGCGAAAAAATTCAGTACTGAAACTCGCGCATCTTGAACTTGCATGTGCATTTTTCAACGCGGCATAGCTCCAGCCGCACATGTTCCCAGTAGTGAAAAGGAAGTTGTGATGTGCAGTTGTTGTTGGAAATGGGTCTTTCAACAGAGGAAGAAGTTTTCATAGTTGAGTATTATTTCCACTCATACGGAAGAGGTCGCCAAACAACTCACTTCCTTGGTTTTGAGTGGCCAGATGTTATCATCCAGAAACCGCTACATAGTACACGTGTGACAATATGGTGTGCCATCTCAGCATACAGTATATTAGGCCCCTATTTCATTGACTGTGAGGGAGGCCATGCTCTTACCATCACCCAAGAACACTACAGGGACATAGTGATCGGACCACTTCTTCAGGATTTGAGAAGGTTCTGCAAGGGGCCTTCACATGAATAGACAGCGGTATCAACAGGACGTATTTTCATTTCAGTACTGTAAGTTTTGGCACATACTGTAAATATCATTACAAATTTTTATATGCGTCTCATCATTTTAACTAAATTGATGTTGTAATATTAGCCTTAAGTGTTAAAATGTTACAGCATTGTTATCAAAATCTCTATTAAAATGTTGAAATTAACTGTTAATTAGTTATTAATTACACTGGAATTATCTTTAAAATAACGTGCCCATGGTATGTCGTTTTACTCTTACAACATATTCATAGAAAATGCAAAAAATACCCACCCCCATTACAGAAGAAAATGCTAAAAATACTCGCTTTCCTCCAACTGCATGGGCAGCACTTCACACTACTTCGTTCGACACCGATACTCCCACTACAAGAACTGTATGTGGGTCCAGTTTTTCCTCCTGCCCCACATTTTTACTGAAGATGTTGACTGCATTATGCACCAGAATATTGGAACAGCTTCAGTGCATAATATGACTAAGCCCCCCAAAGGACAAGTTTATATATTAAATTAAAACATGCTTATTAAGACAGCTATTGTAAAGTGATCTCATCCCTAATTTGACTGATTCTGTGCTTGATCAAGTATTTGTCTTCCCCTCTACCCCTGCAGTTACTTTCTGTGGAAAAGAAAAGTCTTCGTCTCCCGTGGTCATTCTCTTTTCTTGTCTGCCTTCCTTCATGATTTCAGCTCGTGGTCCACACAGAATATTTATTTCCCAACATTACCAGGGCTCCAGAACTACCTTGTGAGTGTGCAAGCCACCTAACACAAACCACATGCATATAGTCTCACAGTGTGTTTCATAGAGGTATTTTATCCTCACCACTGTCCTCCATTAAGTTGCCTATTGTGAGTGGAAGAGCATGTTTATGTTACTGAGCACTGGAGTTGATAGGTTAGCTATCTTTGTATTCATAGGATTTTATATGTAATTTTGTCTTCCCATTCTGACTCCTTTTTGTGGTTTCCTCAAGTTCCTCAAGGAATATGCTGGGATAGTGCTGTAAAATAAGCCAAGACCATTTTCTTTCCTTATCCTATGTGATTTATCATTCACAGCCATGCTCTCAGTGCTGTTTAACATGCAAAGTTAGGAATGTGCTGTTAAAAATAGAAAGAATTATCGTTTATTGATATTTCTATCAGCATTTCACATTGTTGAGTTTCCTATTTTATTTTACAAGTTATAGTGTTAAATAGTAAGATGATTTGAATGATGGAAACTTCAACCAAGCTAGCCAGCCAATGGGCTGGAAGCAGAACCTGGGACCTCCTAAATAGGAATAGTTTTACAGTGTTGATTGTTATGGTGTGTTGTAGAAGTGCGTGGCCTGAAGTCCGGGCAGGAAGTAGAACTTCTTCGAGAAAAAGTGTATGCTGCATTGGAAGAATACACTCGTACCACCCATCCTGATGAACCTGGCCGCTTTGCCAAACTGCTTCTACGTCTACCAGCACTCCGCTCTATTGGGCTCAAGTGCCTTGAGCACCTATTTTTCTTCCGACTGATTGGTGACGTACCTATTGATGAATTCCTCACAGAAATGCTTGAGTCACGATCAGATCCTTAGATGGTTTATATTTCTGTATGGATGTTTAAAGTTTCTGAGTCACTGTGTGAGTTATGAGTCATAGCATCTTTAGTCCCTATGCCATTTTGAACTGACTGTGTTCAATTTCAGAAGAGACTTTGGCATTTTCAAATTTTTTAAGGTGGGTGTGCATAATCCACAATACAAATTCCATTTCTTTTTTTAAATTTGTTACTTCTGAAGAGTTTCTGCAGGTCTTTTTTAATGATTTTACCTAGCCGCATGCTTGTGTTTTATGATGAAATGAATAATTCAGGTTCCAAAGAGTATGAAGACATGTCCTGGTTGCCCCCATTAATTCTAAGGTATGATCTTTCAAAAATCTTTGCACAATATTTGGAATAGGTCAGAGTTCTGGGTACATCTTTTAATGAGCAGCTGTTCATATGTGATGAAATATTAAAAGCTCAGATTTGTTGTGCATATGTAGAACTTGAAGGTATAAACTTCTTGTACCTTTGATTATTCAGGATTTAGCATACACTGAATATAGTTAAAAGGATAACATATTTTTTCCTGACACACGTGTATTTTGTGATAAATTTCATGTGCTGTTATATGAATGTGTTAGGGTCTTACAATTTTTTTAAGTTAAAACTAAATGTCTTGAACCAATGAACAAACAAAATGTGAGACCAGTAATTCTCAGCTGTGACCACAGTGAATAACACAAGGAAATTAGGAGTAATCAGATATGGTATGCTATTACATCATATCCTGGCCTTGAGTTTCTTCTTTTTTGCATTCCCTGAGTACACTGTATGTAAAAAAATTGATTTTACATATCCACCTGCTACATGGCAGGTACAAAATTAATTCTGAGTTCATTATGCTTGGTAGTGTAAATATGCCTGTTCTGGTTTGGAATGCTTATTTTCACTGCTGTGTCCTCCCCCCACCTTTTTTTTACTGAACATTAAGTAGCCACACTAAGAAGTAAGCTCTAATAAAAATAATCCAGCTTAAATCACCCTTCTGATTTATTACACCACTTGCTATTAACTCTTTGACTGGTGCGAAGTGTATTTAAATCCCACCCCTGTCCTGGCAGGCCCTTTAAACCTTATGTCGCTAAAATGCATGTAGTTACTTTTTCCTAAACAACTTCAACAAAAATTGGTTTTTAAAAACAAAATTTTCAGGAACTAATTAAAATACAATATTTTATGCAATAAATGCCTTTCCATACCTCTTTATTAGTTTTTCTTCGTGTGATAAACATTGAAACATGAAAGTTTGCAGAGAGTCACACCACAGCCTGCACACATGATACTTGTTTCTTTTCTAATCTTGTGCTTAGCACTCACGCGACACTTTCTCAGGGCACCATTCTTCTTGTTACTGGGAGGAACATGGACCATTTTATGAATTTTCAAGCCACCCTCTAGACGATTTACTGGCTCTTTCACTAGTGGTCTTTTCAAGGTCGAGGGCGGAGGTGTGACTGCACTTGAGTCTGACGCAATAGATTCGTCATCCACTTCATTCCTTGACTCTTCTCCCTCTCCACCCTGTTTGTTTGGTTCAGTCATTTT